CAGCCCAAAAGTCCTTTTTGAAAAAGTTACAAAAAGTCAGAAAAACCTGACTTTTCCAAAAAGTTCCTTTTCCTTGTATCAAAACTTCAAAAGTAACTTTTTAGTGGTAAGAATACTTTATCAGGAACATCTATCTTTTTGAATTTTGATTTATGTTAGAATTTTCAAATTTGATATTTAGCATGAACAGTTACAAAGAACTGGTTGGTAATGTGATTTTTTTTTCCAAAGCATAAACAGATAGAAACAATCTGTTTTCTTTTTATTTAAGTTAAAAATCTATCTTTTCGCAATAATAATTGTTCAGCTATTAGTTTTAATAATAGTCCTTTTAGTGTGATTTATAATTCACTAATAGCTTTTGCTATTTTTGGATTATAATGACTAAGGGTTACTTATTCTTAAACTATAATGGCTATACTTTAGTTTATTTTTTTTAATTGGAGCTTCTCTTCTGATAACCTAACTGTTTAGTAAACTGTCATATTATTATTTTAATATTAGTTATTGTAATTATATTAAATCATAAATTATTATTGAGTGTTGTAGTATGGACAGATTGATTATATGGGGAATTTGCTACAACGATGAGGAAGGGTAATGGTGGAATTGGAAGAAGAACCATGAGAGGTAACCTTAATTTAAACGTATATGAAGCTCTTGGTGTCGTGCCACCCCAAAGTCAACTGCAACCTAAAGTCAACTGACATTTAGTTATTAGTTCCTACATTTTCTTGCTAATCAGTTTTATTTTTATTATTATTATTTTCGTTTTAGCATTACCAATATTTAGCAAAAAGTTTTGACATTTTTTTTGGCAGCTTAAAGCAGTGATTGGTGACATGGATAGAGTAAAGCTAGAATGAGTTTTTACACATGAGCAACAGATCATCTTCACTCTTCCTGACAAGATATGTTAGGCAATAAGTATGTATTCTGAATAAATTTTTTTTTAATCTTATATGACTCGGTAAACAATTACGCTATTGATATAACTAAATTTGTTTTAACTTATTGCCACAGGTCGCAGTTCATATTAACAGAACAACTTTTCTTTTTAATCATACATTTTGTTTTAATAAGGTTTTCACTTATTTTTTTCTACTCATTTTGTGGGCTGCTTTGATTCATTTGTGCCCTCATGTTAATACCAAGGACCATATTGTTTAAATGAATGTCCATAATGCATTCTTCCTTTATTAGTCTCTTAAGTAAAATTTCAATGTTTAACTGCTCTTTGTAATTTGTTTACCTTATAATGATATTGAGTCCTAAATAAAAGTGATGGCTTCCAACCCCTGCAATGCAAAGCAGGGGAACCTTCACTAGTTTAACAAAAAAACTAGAAATATATTATGTTATTTTAAAAACATCATGCATCATAAACTACAACATCCTAATGATTTTAACATCATATACTCTAATTTAAAATTTTAGCTTGAATTGTGACTTATATTCTAAAAAGGACATAGACATCAATTTATGATGACAAACAACAAATACAAATTTTCTATTAGAATACTATGCATACACTTATTATAACATAAAACTAGTTTAGAGGCTTGTATATTATATGAGTTGATTAAAACAAAATATTAAATAGGAATGATTAAATGGGAATTTTATTTGCATTTTAAATCTGAAATAAATGAATATGATGAGAAAAAAACATGCAAAAAATAAATAAATTAAAATTATGTGTTTAGTTGTGAAACCCGTGTACTAAACGGCGGGTTAATTATAACAAAATGTTAAATACAAAGGTTTAAACTGTAAATTTATAAAATTGAAATTGAAACTTAAAATTTAAAATTTGAAATTAATAGGTTTAATTTATGGAAACTAAATTAATGATATATTGGAAATCAAAAATGAAGTAAAATGACAAGTGGAAAATAAATATATCTCATAATTATAACAAAATGACATGTGGCCAATTGAATTAGAGAAGGACATGTGACAAAATCAGTATAGAAGATATACAATATTATTTTAATAGAGCATTATACATAGAGACTTCAATTTTAAACTCTTATAATATGTAAAAGATATTAATACCATTACACCACATAAACTATAGCCTTACTTGTATTATCCTTTAAAACATAACTATTCCATGATATTGTTTAACATTCACTAATCTTCAAACCTTGAAACCATAACTATTGTTTACCAAACATTCAACCATACCTATGATTCAAAATATAGAAAACATAACCAATATTCAAAGATCATAATATAGAAAACATAACCAATATTCAAAGAGAAGAAGACTACAAATTCATTAACCATTAAATTATTGCAAATATTTTATCAATTCGATCAACAGTTCATAAATTCATTAACCATTAAATTATTGCAAATATTTTATCAATTCGATCAACAGTCTTCATTTCATTGCATCGCTTCTTAAACCAGGTTACGATGCTTTAGTCGATCATATTTTGCAAACTCCTTAACTTCTTCAATTAGTTTATATATAGGTTACCATTCAATTTGGTTGCAGAATGAAATGTAAAATCAATATAAACAAATATTTATCATAACAAAATACCTAGAATATACATATTATACAAACTACTGTCAAGTAATAACAAATATCAAATGTTTTGTAACATTCTAGAATAAGTAACAATATATATGAAACATGTGATCAAATTAAATATGAACTATAACTAAACACCTAAACAAAACATAAACAACAATTTATCAAAACGGAATACCTAAAATATAAAGCTATTAAAACATTATTTTTACAAACACAATAATCGATCATTTCATTAATCCACATGTTAACATCTGAAATTAAATTTATAGCTCAATAGACCCCTATTTTATTAATTTACTGCTAAATTATGCCATCAATCAACGAATTAACATCTTTTTATAACATTCTATGTATAATTAGTTAATTACAACCATGAAAACCAAAATATCATCAAGTAATATATTATGTTTTATATAACCAATGGATTATGTTACAAACTATCTTAAATAAGTTCAGAACAAAAAACATCAATTATTCAAAGCATTATAAGCTAATTTATTTTATTATATTATGTTTTATATAACCAATGGATTATGTTACAAACTACCTAATGCATTCCATTATAGAGTATCTTAATCAAGTGAATAATAAAGTTCACAGAGTTACAACAATCTAAAACATAAATAAGTAAAATATTCTCTTAGAAAATACCTTAAATTAACAACAAACATCAATCATTCAAAATACATGCCCCACAATCAAAATAAACCTAACTGCAATAAATAAGTTCTATAAAAGAAAATAAACCTAGATACAGTAAACAAGTTCATTGTTAACTATGTATACTAAAGCCCAATTAAATATTTGGCATTGAAGATTCTCGGATTTTGAAGCTCATTGTTAACCCTAGTTATAATAAAAGCATTTAACACAAAACCTTTTTTATTGGTGTTGATTTATAAAACAAAATAACTATATGATGAACCCTAACTTCATAAATCAAAATAAGATGAGTATACAACTATAGTCTTGGTTTAAAAAAGTGCGATTTTTGCGACCGTTGCTAGGTTGTGTTGTGTTGCGATGGCCTAAGCGCAACAGAGGTGTGGGACGAAGTGACCTACATGATGCGAGGTGATGCGTGCGCATCCTGACCCATTTTACTTAGAAAATACTTGAAATCCAATAAAGCCATGCAAATGCAATTGTTTAATTATTGGTAAGCACACTTCTACCCTAGAGAGTTGTGTATAAACATGAATTTTGCTTTCTGCTTAAAGTTGACACACACACAATCACCAGAAAGAGATGCAAATCAAGCATGATGAATACGTTTCCTAAGGTTTTTAATGCAAGAAATATCGATGTAATTGCATCGAAATCTGGAACGTATAGGTTAGGGTTTTTACTAGTGGTGAGCATAATAACCGAAAAACCGAACCAAAACCAAATTAACCGATAAAACCGAACCATTTTTAAAACCGATGGTTCTGTTTCTATTTTTTCCTAACCGATAACTAACGGTTCGGTTATGGTTTTATAGATTAACCGAACAATTATTAACCGAACCGATAACTTTATATATATATATATATATATATATATATATATATATATATATATATAGCTCAACATATTCAAGTGCAATTAATTTTTTTTTAATAAAAAAGAACTCATTAATACTCATTTATCGGTAGACATGATTGAGAAATAAAACTATCTACGGTTGCACACACATGGACACATCCAATTAACAATCATACATTGTGCTAAGACAATTGATTAATTTGGTAATTCTTAATTCTACATTTTGTAAACTTTTTGCATTGCAGAGTTGATTGATGGTCGCATTCAAATACAAAAGTTATGTTTTATTTTATTATTATAAAATTTGAAAAGCTTACAAAAACTATTTGTCCAATTTTTTTGTATTCTTTTTTAATTTTTTATACCAATATAGTCTCATTTTGTATCATTTTTGAACATTACGAATATTAACCATTAACCAAAACCATTAACCAAAAAAAATCATTAACCATAACCAATACTGCCCATAACCAATGGATACCAAAACGCATTAACCAATAGTAATGGTTATGATTATGTTTTGTTAAATTAACCGAATCAAACCGTCTCATACACACCCTCCTATGGAACGAGCTTCAATATAAGTTAGGGTTTTTACATGAATGAAAGATTTTTAGTGGGGAGAAGAATGAGAAGTGTTTATGTTTTAATCGTGATTGCAGATCACTGAATGAAAAGTTGGACAATATTACCCCTTCATGTGTAAGAGTTAACCCCAAAGTTCCATCTATTTACAAAAGCACCCGCGCCTAAAAATTATTTGATCTCAAACCTTGATAAAAATAGATGAATTATTCAAATCTTGTCCCATGTCTCACAAAATTTCCTTGTCTCAAATGAACCAAACCTCTCTCTCTCTCTCTCTCTCTCTCTCTCTCTCTCTCTCTATATATATATATATATATATATATATATATATATATATGTGGGTGTGTATGAATAAAAAAAAAATTTGACGGTACAATGCTATAAAAAGATAGTAAGAAAAAAAAGCCTTCCTAGAAAGTCAGAACAACCCTACTGAATGATATACCATTTTCCATCATCTCTGACTTCTACAGCCAGTGAAATAACAAGTTAAATAAGTTCACATAATCCAACATCAAAAGATAGAATATAGCCAAGTACCTTTTAACACTAATTTGTACGGTGCCCTGGTGCTGGCTCTTGGCTCCACCACCCTGCACATGCATCTGTTAACGAAGTATGCCACCAATTCCACCAAAACCCCTACAAAATTGATACCCCTCTTCGGATTTGTTTGTCACAAACTCAAGTGTGCATCCAAATTTCTTATACTCATTAGCAAGCCACTCAAGCAATGGCATCTTTTCTTGAACTTCAAGTTCAGCATTTGTCTGCGGGTCTCGAAAGTTACTTTGATCAGCTTCTTGTTCCCTGTTCAAATGCTTTGTAGTGATTTCACTTGAAGTACTATTTTTAAGCACGTATAGATTAACATCAAGTTTCTCCCACACAATGAGATTCTCAACAGCACCCATCTCCAAAGATTCCAAAGTGTCATCAACACCAAACACACACTTGTCCGTATCCTGGCTGATCTCTTCAAAATACTTTCCAATCAAACGTTTTTCTTGTACAAACTTCAGATTAGGAAGAACTTCAGAGGACAACTGGATAGCTTGATTGAAACCATGCTCCTCTCCATATGAAACAGCAACTACATTCATGATTTTAGCTCGAAGACAAGGATCAAACATGTCACATTGCATCAAATCGGTTTCCAAACCAGCAGATCCAGCAAGTATAAGACCAGAAACGTTTGATTGACCAGTGGCAGGATTGATGTACAGCTGTGTTGCCAGCTCAGCTGTTTTTCTCACATAGTTATGACGTTTCTCCATATGAAAAGGTGCAAATGGAAAGGCAGACTGCTTTCTTCGCCCATGTTTCATTGGTAAATCCTCTGTGAATTTGTGTACAACTTCCCTTGTGTTGCCACTCAATGTCCCAAAAAGTGTCCCGTTACCATCCATGATAATGAAACCAAACATGTCATCAGATTCCAACAGTTCACTTAGAGCTTCTGTATGGAACTTGTTATCACAGAGATAAAGGGAGTCCTTGATCGGTTTGAAGGGTTCAAAGTCTTTTGTAACTTTCTTCTCCTTTTTCCCGTCATCAGTAAGTATGGTTCCAGTATAAATCACCAGTCCATTGGGAGGAACCTTGTTGTATAGCATAAGTCTCTGTTGGGCAGATGTTATGGCGCCTAAAACATATTGACGATTCACTCTGCTCTTCATTTTTGAAGCAGTTTCGAATTCATCTTCAAGCATTTTAGTGACTCGAGAAATCTGATCTCGTGGAGGCATAATAAGAGAGATCATGCTGGTACCATTGCCTCTTGCAGCTTCAAGTTCCTTGATAAGGTTCTTCATCTTCCATATCGCTATATTCTTATCGGCTTCATCAACGTCCGACATCTTGACTAAAACAAGCGAAGAGATATTATTATTTTGCAAAACTGTTACACCGCTATTTCAATTTCTACTAATCGTACAAAGAGCGATCTGACAACTCAAAGATCTGAGATAATAATTTTAAAAATAAAAAAAAATCCACAGGTTTTTATGAAATCAAAGCAGAGGAAAAGAACTTCAAGAAATTCACAATCATTAGAGTGGAGCATATCAGGTTTGATCAAACAGATGTAATAACACTTGCTAAGATCTGAGGAAAGAGTTCTTACATGAAGAAGAAGGACGCCTGCGGCTTCGACGACGACTGGTGTCGGTTTTTGGATTGAATTGTGGGTGAAAGTTGAAACCCTAATGCTATTTTATCCTCTCAGCCTAACCCCAATTGAAACTTTTACCCAAACATTACCTTTCTATTACTCTACTCGTCGATTATTAACGGAAATTGAGGAGCCTAACTTATTTACAAGATAAATGTCTTTCCCGCCCTATAAATATTTTTGGATGAATATCCAAAACCGTTTAATTTGCACAAAAATATTCTCTCTTTTCAGTAAGATTGGTCTTTCCCACAAATACACAAAACAAGTCTAAAAAAAAGACGCATCGGACATTTGTGCCCTAACAAAAAAAAAATGCATACAATGTCTCCATCTTCGATCGGCCATACATGCTGAATTTTGAACTTACATGCTGAATTTATCAGCATACATGTTGGTTATATATGATGTTATTTCGTATATACATGCATAATTTTGGTTATATATTTTGTTTTTTTACACACATGCTAAATTTTGGTTATATATGTAGTTTTTTTGTATATACATACTAAATTTTGGTTATATATGTTGTTTTTTGTACACACGTGCTGAATTTATGAACATACATGCTGAATTTTGGTTATATATATATATATGCTGATTTTTTGTTATATATGTTGTTTTTTGTACCTACATGCTGAATTTTATATATATGTTATTTTTCCATTATAGACATGTCATAAAGAAAATCTAGAATAAGAGATAACGATTCGAGCGGGTATGCGCATACGCAATATATGATACATGGAGACTTGTACAATGTTACAATATGATACGTCTTACACAAGAGGTATTTGTATTATTATCCAATCACTTTACGCAATGTGACATCCCCAAATTCACAATCATTTTAAAAATTTTATTTATGCATATTTAAAAATCAAAGTATCATTTTTGAATTCACGGTCATTTAAAGAATAACTTACTCGAGTCTAGTAAAAAAAAATATTGCAGCTTCGTTTATGGTTGATGGATATACATTAATCCTGTTAGGATTGCCGGCAAGATCACTGGTCAGAATGTTTGAGTGTATTCTTGATATGTGCTCTTATTTTCTAAGCACAGATTATGTTACATTAACACTAAACAGAAAATTGAAGAGAGGAAGACAATATAAAGTTAAACTAAGAAACGTAGGATAATAGATATATGACAACCAAACCAAGAATATATCATAAAGGTAAAGTTACAATACAAAACAAGGTCTTAAACCATACAAATATAGAAATGATGCTAACAAGTGCCAAGAAGATAAACCAATTCATCACAAAGAAGCATAAACATCAATTTATACCGCATATCTAACTGTGACCAACAAACAATAATAATAACAAAACCCCATCCTTATCCCATATTAAGGGAAGGTAAGATGTAGGCAGCTCATAATTTACCTCCAACATAAATACTAAAAAAAAAAAAAAAAAAAAAAAAAAAAAAAAGAAAGAAAGAAAACACACACACATACCGCCCGTCTTGTAAGAATCAAGCATTGTCTACAAATTTGGACAAAAAACACCTGTTTATGAATGACTATGAGCAAAATTGGTTACCTAGCAAACGCCTTTTGCATCATTTGTGTTGATGTCATGGATTGTAAACAGGCTACCTTGGTACATTCGGATATCTGCTTCTGATTCATCCTTCCAACCAACGGCTTTGACTTCACTAATCACCCCACTTTTCCGGCAATAAACAAACAAGTCTTTCCCTATTTTGGATGCCATTACTATGTCCCCCTATTTGTTCCAAAGCCCTAAAACCATTACCTCAACAAAAGGTAAAGGTGGCTTATAATCAAATCGACAGTAAGGTACCCATTCCTTCTGCTTCAATACCCACACCTCCATCGTTTTTCCAAGGTGGTTATACGAATATCCAACTTCACCATGCAGATCAACCAATCGAGTGTTAATCCAACCATCTCCAGTTTCTTTCGTAGGATAGATCAATCTGAATTCCTCCTTCCTCACATCATACCGTATCACTTGATCACTGTATGCCTCTCCAGGAACATAAGCTGTCAACCAGTACAGATATCCATGGGCAAATACGCCTTCACCGGTTATGGGATAAGATGGGACTTTGGGTAAATCTCGCCATGAGTCGGTGCCCAAAACATGCACCCTGGTGCGGAGATTCTTCCTCACCTCATCAAGGCTCACCGGATGAGCTTCTCTTCTAACAGATACACATACCATCTTGAAGGTGTTGGTAGAAGCATCAAAACCAAGCCCACATGATTCTCGAGTCCCCGACGTTTTACCTAACCTAATATCGATGGGTGGCAACTGATAACATTCTTTCCTTAGAGGATTGACCACAACCAAAGTGGTGCCGAGATCCCGACCATGGTTTTGTGCTAAAGATAAATAAAGCAGCCAATTGCAAGAACCACGAACTATGACCACCGGCAACGATTCGTTACATCCAAGCTCCATAACCGGGTGCTTTGTTAAGTCTACTTCTGAATTTGTTTTGTTTCATGCACGTTTTAATTTAGTTTTGAATAAATCAAAGTGACCAGTGAGTGGTCCCTAGTCTTTAGCTTGTAGTCAAGTTTGTTTCCTGTTTTTTAGCAGAGTCCTAGTTTAAAAGCAAAGGCAAGTGTACGTTTGTTTGTAGTCCAGTTCATTTTTGTTCAGTGAATAAAGAGATACTTTGCCTCATTTTATCCCCTGTACTCTTCCTTGTCCCTTGTGCTCTCTGTTCATTGTGCAGTTTTTGTTAAACTGTTAATTCCAGTTTTACCCTTTCCCTGTCATTTGTCATTTCCTGTCCCTGTGCAGATTCCTTTGTTGTGTTTAGTTTCCCATCTTGGTAATAAAAGTCTTTATTACCCCTGCAAGAGACCAACATTTGGTATCAGAGCAAAGTCTTGGTGCATGCCCAAGTATCAATCTCGTGAAGAGATGACAGGAAACAATGGCAACAGTGAGAAGGATGGTCAAATAACCCTCCACTATCCAATGTTATCAAGAACCAACTATAGAGCATGGGCAATCAAAATTCGTGTCTTCATGCAAGCTCAAGGTGTATGGGAAGCTGTTAAGCCACAAACAACAAACACGGTGGTGGAGGTTAAGAAGGACAAGATGGCACTAGCAGCCATCTATCAAGGGATACCAGAAGACCTTGTAATGTCACTAGCTGAAAAGAAAACTGCCAAAGAAGCATGGGAAGCCCTGAAGACAATGTTCATGGGAGCAGATAGGGTGAAGGTTGCAAGAATTCAGACCCTGAAGGCAGAATTTGAGGCAATGAACATGAAGGAGACGGAGGGCGTTGATGAGTTTGCTGCAAAGGTGACCAACGTTGTTAGTACCATGCGCACTTTAGGAGACACTGTAGACGAGGCCTATGTAGTAAAGAAACTACTCAGGGCGGTGCCATCCAAGTTTCTACAGATTGCCTCGACCCTAGAACAGTTTGGAGACTTGGACACGATGACAGTGGAAGAAGTGATTGGACGATTGAAAGCACATGAAGAAAGATTGAAAGGGCACAGTGATAACGAAGATAAAAGGCTCCTATTAACGCATAAAGAATGGTCTGAAAGAAATAAGAAGAAATGAGAGGGAGACACCAAATCAAAAGCAAATCGTGGAGGATTCGGTGGATCACGAGGACGAGGCAGAGGAAGAGGAAGAAATGGCAGTAGTCGTGGTGGTCGGGGTAGAAGTGGCTCTCACCACCAACGTGAAAGAAATTTTGGTGCATCTAGCAGTCAATACAAAAGCAAAGTGCAGTGCTAAAACTATCAGGAACATGGTCATTACGCAGCTGAATGCAAGAATCCAAGAAAAGAAAGAAACATTGATAACAATTTGATACAGGAGGATAACGAACCTGAACTCCTATTGATGTCTCTCAAAAATAAGGAAGAAGTTGGTGAGATATTTTTAAATGAAGAAAAAGTAAACCCAGATTTGAAAAAGAAAGGTGGGGAGTCAAGCCAGTCAAAGCTTTGGTATCTTGATACCGGAGCAAGCAATCATATGACCGGTGATAGAGGGAAATTCCATAATCTGAATATGGAGATACAAGGGTATGTCAAGTTCGGGAATGAAACTAAAGTAAGAATTGAAGGAAAGGGTTCCATAATTTTCCAATGTAAAAATGGAGAAAGAAGGAAACTTCAGGAAGTGTATTACATACCTGACCTCTGCAGCAACATAATCAGTCTTGGCCAACTGTCAGAAAGTGGGGATGAAATCAAGATAAAGGAGCCATTCTTATGGGTCCATGATAAAGCTGGGAGATTGCTAATGAAGGTGCAGAAGTCCATAAACCGTCTCTACAAAATAGAGCTTGAAGAAGTTAGTTCAAGATGCTTGGTTGCTGAAATAAAAGACCCAACTTAGCTGTGGCATACAAGGTTAGGTCATATAAACTTCACATCACAAACTGATGTCTGAAAGAGGCTTAGCTGAAGGAATTCCTAAGATGGTGATTCCATCAAAATCATGTGAAGGATGCCTTATGGGGAAACAGTCACGATGTTCATTCCCATCAAGTACAAGCTTCAGGTCAGAAGAAAGACTAGGACTTGTACATGTTGATTTATGTGGGCCAGTCACACCACCAACACCTGCGGGCAACAGGTACTTTATGTTGACAGTTGATGACTTTAGCAGGGTCATGTGGGTGTATCTGTTGAAGTCAAAAGATGAAGCCCTTCAGACATTCAAGAACTTTAGAACAAGAGTTGAAGTAAAGACAGGGAAAAAAATGAAACTACTGAGAACAGATCGAGGGGGAGAGTTTCTCTCAAAGCAATTCACTGCATATTGTAACGAAACAGGGCTTGACAGGCAATATACCTCACCATTCTCCCCACAACAGAATGGAGTCGTGGAGAGACGCAATCGTACTGTACTCGAGATGGTAAGAAGCTGCTTAAAGACCATGAATGTACCTGATGTACTATGGGGGAAGCAGTGAATCATGCAGTCTATGTACTGAATAGGGTATGCACAAAGGCACTGAAGGATACTACACCGTATAAGATGTGGATTGGAAGAAAGCCACATGTCGGACACTTAAGGGTGTTTGGGTGTACAGGTCATACGAAGATTGTGAAGAATCACTTGAAGAAATTAGATGGTAGAAGCAAGAGGGTCGTGTATCTCGGTACAGAAAAAGGATCGAAAGCTCATAGACTCTTGGACCATGACACAGGATCGATTCATGTGAGTAGGGATGTAGTGTTTGAGGAAGATCAAACCTGGAATTGGGAGAAGACGACCAAGATAAAGGCAATTCCAGGCATGAGCTTCACGATGGAAGGCTTTAATTTCGACGAATTTCAGGGAGATGATTCCGATCTGGAATCGTACACCCCACAACATGGGTACGGGTCAAGTGATGATAGCAACTGGACCGGAGAACAATAGCCTACTAGTTCTCCATTGGGCTCTCATGGAAGCCCACAAAGTATCCCCTTAAACCAACCTGATACGCCCAATTCACCAGTCACACCCAATTCACCCACTACACCGCATTCACCAACTGAAACAATGAGCAATGCTTCCAGCTCCACGGGAGGTGGAGCTCCAAAACAATATCGACTCCTCACAGACCTGTATGATCAAACAGAATAAATCGAACTCCCTGAAGAACTAATGATGATTCAAAATGATGAAGAACCTAACTCACACCGAGAAGCAAAAGAGAAGATCGAATGGGTCAATGCAATGAAGGAAGATATGGCTTCAATCGAAAAGAATAACACGTGGAGGCTCGTCGAACTCCCAAAAAGGAGAAAAGCAATCGGTTTAAAGTTGGTCTACAAGGTGAAAAGAGATCCAAACGGAAGAATTCTGAAGTACAAGGCGGGAATTGTGGCGAAAGGGTATGTCCAGAAACAGGGAATTGACTATGAGGAGGTTTTCGCTCCAGTGGCTAGGATCGAAACTGTTCGGGTAATTTTGGCACTTGCTGGGTCGAATGGATGGTGGGTTCACCACCTTGATGTGAAATCGGCGTTCCTAAATGGAATATTCGAAGAGGAAGTGTACGTATCTCAACCTGAAGGTTTCGAGAAAACTAAAGAGGAAGGCAAAGTGTACAAGCTTACAAAGGCCCTATATGGGCTAAAACAAGCACCTAGGGCTTGGAATTCATGCCTGGACAGATACCTGAAGAGCTTGGGATTCACAAGGTGCTATCAAGAGTATTCAATGTACACAAGGAAAAGAAAAGGGAAAATCTTAATAGTTGGCGTCTATGTAGACGATTTGATAGTAACTGGTGACTGTCCAAAAGATATTGATGAATTCAAATTGGAGATGAAGCCAAATTTGAAATGAGTGATCTTGGTCTATTGACTTACTACTTGGGAATCAAAGTGAGTCAGCATAGTACAGGGATAACCTTGAAGCAAGAAGCTTACGCGAAGAATATTCTAAACAAGACCAGAATGATGGACTGTAATCCAACAAAGAGCCCAATGGAGCACAAGCTAAAGTTGTCTAAGGATGAAGAAGGAGAGCTTGTGGACCACACTGAGTACAGAAGCATTGTTGGTGCACTCAGGTATCTAACACACACTCGCCCTGATATTTCATTTACAGTTGGAGTTGTTAGTCGCTTTATGGAAAAGCCAACTGTAAAACATCTTCAAGCAGTTAAGGGAATCCTTAGATACATAAAGGGCACCCTAAGTTATGGTCTAACTTACACTAGAGGGGAGAATAGAGTCACTCTCACAGGGTACTCAGATAGTGATTTTGGAAAAGACATGGATGATGGAAAGAGCACAGGTGGCACAACATTTTACTTGAATGAGAATCTGGTAACATGGATGTCACAAAAGCAACGCAATGTAGCCTTGTCTTCCTGTGAAGCAGAGTTTATGGCTGCAACTATGGCAGCTTGTCAAGGCATTTGGCTGCGTAGACTCCTCACTGAAGTAACAAGGCAAAAGGTACCACCCGTGGCTTTGTTTGTTGACAATCGATCAGCCCTTGATTTGATGAAGAATCCAGTATTTAATGGGAGTAGCAAGCACATAGATATAAGATATCACTTTATTAGAGAATGTGTTGAAAATGGAGAAATAATTGTGAGTCATGTGTGTGGCACAAAGCAGAAAGCAGACATTCTTACAAAGTCCCTAGCAAGAGTGAAGCATGAAGAGATGAGGGATTTAATTGGAGTAAAGAAGATTCAGAAATAGGGGGAAAATGTTAAGTCTAATTTTTAATTTGTTTTGTTTCATGCACGTTTTAATTTAGTTTTGAATAAATCAAAGTGACCAGTGAGTGGTCCCTAGTCTTTAGCTTGTAGTCAAGTCTGTTTCCTGTTTTTTAGCAGAGTCCTAGTTTAAAAGCAAAGGCAAGTGTACGTTTGTTTGTAGTCCAGTTCATTTTGTTCAGTGAATAAAGAGATACTTTGCCTCATTTTATCCCATGTACTCTTCCTTGCCCCCTATGCTCTC